GGCTGCAGGGGCAGCGCATACACTACAATGGCTGCTGGAAAGAGGCGTAAGGAAACAATTTCCAGGCCCGCCGCGTCCAGCCCGAAATATGAGAAAAAAATTATTAGAAATTCCGCGTGTGGTGTAAAGGCGGCGGACGGGCCGGAGGGAGGATGGTGAAGCTCTGCGGTGAGTCCTGCCGGGGTCCGGGGCGGCGGAGAGGCATTTAGCGGGAGAAATATCAGGGTTATTTAAATTATGGGACTCGCTGAGGGGGTAGAGGAGCCGCGGCGGCGGCAGGAGGAGGAAAAGTTTGTGCTGCTCTCAGCCCCTGCTCGGGACCCCAGAGAGGAAAATAATAAGAAAAAACTAAAATAAAATCATTGCGCGGGGGTCTGAGGACTCCCCGAGTCGCCTCTGACAGGGCAGGGGGCGATGCGGCTGGGGACCCGAAGGTGAGGGCGGTGGGAAAAAAAAAGCCCCTTTATTCAGGGTCTGGAAAGTTTGAAAAGTTTTCCTCCTCCTCCTCCTCCTCCTCCTCTCTGGTGCTGTGAATATTGTGACAGCGGCAGCGGCAGCAGCGAGAGCGGAAGACATTAGAGACCCGAAAAATAAGGGAAAAATTAATATAAATTCAGTTTTTAGAGCAAACTCTCCGCATTTTTCACCAAAACATCCCGGGGGAAGGTCGCTTCCCAAAGGGCCTGGCGGAGACCCGCGGTCGGCAATATTTGGGGGGCACTGGGAGTGACTTGGGGTAACTGTGCCCCTTTTTCAAAAGAGGTTTTTCTTTTTGGAGAAATGCATTTTGTTTTCGCCCTTTCCCCAGGTGGGCGAGTCGGGGTCGGCCGCGGGGTCTGGGAGGAGGTGTGAGCCGGGCCGAGTGGCCGCGAGGGGGGCCGGGGGTACTAAATGAAAGCAGGAGATCTGCACAGGGCAGGGACAGCTTGTTGTCAGTATCATAAACAACCAAAATGGAGGGAGAACTCAGGCATATAACCAAATAAAAATTTTTAAAAAATCGCAAAAAATCCCTAAAAATCCGGGATGCTCCCCCTTTTCTCGCTGAAGGTAAAAGTACGAACCGCCTTTCCCCTGAAGTCCATTTTGACTTTGCAGGGACCAAGGAGTTAATATTTATTTATTTTTTAAAACTTTCGAAGGGCAAAAGCCTTTTATAACTCAACCGACAATGAGAAAACGTGAAAATCCGATGCAAGAGGAGGAGGGGGAGGGATGGGGGAGGTGGTAGTGCAGAAACTGCTCAACTTATTGGTAATGTGGACTGATCTGAGATAAGATAAACACTATATTTGCTATTTTATGACTCCCTTTTAATGATCTTTGCGAGGTGGTTTTTTTTTTGTTTTTTTTTTTTTTTTTGTGGAAAAAAAGTGATGCCATTTTCTTAATAGAGTTAATATGTGTGATTGGAAGAATAAACCTTTCCGGCTTTAGATTGCCTTTTCGTCGCATTTACGCTTCAGGTTTATGAGTGGCTCCCTCCTTTCTTTAAACTTGGCTCTACAGAGAAGGGCGAGAGAGGTGATGGTGCACAGACACACTGGGGTGCAAGCTCAGAGCACCTTTTGGGGAGGGGTGGGAAGCTGCTGTGTTTCTCCCTCCCTGACAAGTTTGCTTCACCTGTTCATCCTCTGTAGGAAATGTAAGCTGAGCTTTTCTGGTTTTATGTATAGAAAAGGATGGTGCCTCTTGCATCACATTGAAGTTAATGGGAAAGTGCTGCTGATGTTGGTTCCACGTGGAAAATGGGACAGAGCAGGGCATTTTAAAGGGACAGCCTCTCTTTTCTTATGGTTTTCCTCACCTACACAGAATCACTGTCTGATGACCAAAAGCAGAGGTGCTAGGAGGGTGTGGTGATGGAAGAGCCCTGCCTCTCCATGACTCAAGTGCACCCACCCTTAGGAGGGATGAAGGGGAAGGAGGAATAAACAAGCCCAACAGAAGATGGATATGTGTGTAGATGAGCTTGTATCCAAGTTGTTCTTATGTGTAACAAGCTCTCCCAGGAACTTTTTATGTCAAGTTGCTTTGCTTTGGAAGCTGATTTTGGAAGGAATTGTGGAAAAATCAAAATAGTTTAAGGTGTGTGGTGTGATGGTATAGCATTATTGAACAGTTATGAATTCTGTGCAGTGAGATCAAAGAGCCATGTATGCCCATAATGTGATTTTACAGCCATTTTATAGAAGCTGTAAAATACATAATATTCATTTTTGCTTAAGGTATGTTGAGGACCTGTGGTTGAGAAATGCAGACAGAGTGGTGGAGATTCTTTAACATGTAAGCAGTAGGCATTTCTTCAAGGGAAAAGAGCACACATACAGACACCATGGAGAAGTTCACATGTATATCCATTTTTAAAGCCCATCCTGTACATGTACTGTAACTCTGCACCTTTGAAAGGAAGAGATGTTAAAATTCTGAAACCTATCACTTTGCACCATTTAAGTTAATTTGTTTGTGTTATTTAACAGGAAATGTTTACTGATCATAAATTACTATCAGCTCTAATGTTTCAGATTTCTAAAATATTTAAAAAATTTAAAATATGTAAGATATTAGCTGTACTTTATTTGAGATTAATGCTAATCTTGAATAGAAATTACTTGTGTTGTATTTTCCACAGGCATATGGAGTTTCTGAAAGAAATCCCTATTTTCCTTTGTTTCTATGACTTATAGAAGTAGATTAAAATTAGAGCTGAGTTTTTAGACTTTTTATACAGAATACTGTTTCTTGCTATACTGTACAAATTATTACTTTATAGTACATTGTATGATAATTTATGTTCACAGCTGAGCTGTTATCCGCACCCTTTCTGTAACTTTCTATGTAACAACCTTACATTGGTGTGGTGTTTTGAGTACATTATCTTGTGGTTTCAGATTTGGAAGCAATTGTAACTTTCTAAGAACTCATTAAAAAACTAATCTCCTGAACCACTATTAAATCAAAGTTGATTGAAAAGTGATTGAGCTATCAGTGGAAAAGAGAAGACCGTCCCCACCCCCCCACAAATCATCATCTTT